GAGCATGCATTTCTTTGCAAACTCGTGAAGTGTAGTAGCTCCAACTTCAGCCACTAAGGCTTTCTGCATCTGTTGGTTGACTTTGAAGCGCAAGTCATCCAGCAAAGTTTCTTCAGAGTAATCAAGCTCTGTCGTGAGCCTTTGGAACTCAGCCCAGAACACTGCAAAGGTGTTGTTTCTCTGATACAGCTTTCGATACTCAGTTTGAGCTGTGTGCCTTCGATCGGGATCACTGAAGACTTTTTCCAAAAGTTCGAGAATTTCTTCTGCTGTCTGCAATTTGTTTGTAGAGTTTGGTCGAAGCCTTGGATTGACATGTCGAACTGCCAATCCTCCCAGTCGACTCTGAATGTAGCTCATTTGTAAAGTCTGTGTTGGAAAATGATCAATGTTGGCTTCGAGCTTGAGGCGAATTTTCACAACCCAGTCTTCAAATGCTGGCTCTATCCCATCTGTGAGGATTGGAGGGTCTGGAATCCGAGCTGACAGTCGACTGTGAGAGTGGTGTCCTGGTTCATTCTTCAGAGCTTGTTGGGTTTGCTTTTCAAGATATTTCTGAATTGTTTGTTGCTCTGTGATTTGTTGCTCGTTGCTCTGGATCAGTTCCTGTAACTGGAGAATGGCATCATCCTTTTCAGCCAGTATCGAATTTGAGTCCTCTGCTAGGGCCAAATAGTCCCGAAGAATGTTCTTGTGCAAAGTCCATGCCATTTTCTGGTTGGCGACAGATAGTTTCTGGAATTCGTCAAAGGTTTCAACATTCCATTCAGCCTTTTCATATCGATTTGCAAGTATAGATTCATGTCTCTCTTGAGCTGTTTTGCCCAGAGTGTGAAGGAAGGTTTTGGATTTGAAATTAGGATCATGAAGTTCATTGGTTTGGTTTGCAGAGCTTGGAATTGATGCTCCTTCTGCCAGGGATTCCTGGTCTTGTTCTGGATCATTTCGAGCTGCCATTGCAGCTTTTTCTTCAGCTGTATAAGCCATAGCGAGTTGCTATTTCAATTTCGTTTTATATCGTCAAGTCAGACACATATTGCCAAAGGCCCTATTGTGCAGTTGTTGGCCGTAGGAGCCACTCGAGAGGAGCGCACTTCCCTCACAGTTATATCCTTGTCGAGGGAGCGTTGTAAAAGGTCTGACTTGCGAAGGTGGTGTGTGTGTGTCGAGCTGACTGTCGAAAGCCAACTTTGAGGGGTTGCCTGGAGATCGTCCTAGAATCGACTTCAGGATAAGGTTTCTGGTTCTGGGGTTTTCAAAGAGTGGATTTCGATTTCGATTTCAGAAGAGGGTTCAGCTCAAAGAGCAGGAAAAGAGGTATAAGAGAGATTGAGTTTTATGTCACGGTTCACCAAGGCATAGGGCGCCAGTTGGGTATTATGAATTAAACTCAATCTAGAGAAGAAAGGAAAGAGAAGAGGAGCACTCGAGCAGTGGCTCGATCTATATACAGCTATTGTGGAGTGAATTCTCTTTAGCGAGACCAGTTCTGAGAATTCACTCCACAACTGAAAACTTCGCTCCAACCCCGGAAAGCTCCCCACACCCCTGAACCCCCACTCGAGCTGCAAGGCGCACTTGATATCGTAACAATAAAAGAGCTCTTTGTGAAGATTCAGTGATTATCAGAGACTGGTTTAAGCTCATACGAAACACGGTCGCAAAGTACGGAATTCAAGAGGAGGATATATACAACTTTGATGAAGCTGGGTTCTCACTGGGAATGATTGCTACTGCTAAAGTAGTCACTAGCTCAGAGTCAAGGAATCGTCCGAAAGCTACACAGCCAGGAAATCGAGAATGGATGTCAATTATACAAGGAATCAACTCGTACGGGTGGTCAATTCCTCCATTCATTATTTTCAAAGGAGCAACCCGCCTTCGTCATGGTATAACGACGACGAGGTACAACTCCCACGCGATTGGGTGATTACATTAAGTGAAAACGGGTGGACTACAAATGCAATTGGTTTTGAGTGGATTCAGCATTTTGAGAAACATACTCAGAGTCGTACGAAAGGAGTATATCGTCTCCTAATTCTTGATGGCCACGAGTCACATATTTCAGTCGAATTCCAACAGTATTGTCAAGAGCACCTAATTATTACCCTCTGTATGCCACCACATTCATCACACCTCCTCCAGCCTCTTGATGTTGGGTGTTTTAGCCCACTAAAGTCCTCGTACGGAAAGCAGGTCGAGGGTCTCGTACGACTCCATATTCACCATATCACAAAGCTTGAGTTCCTCTCTGCCTTTAAAGAAGCGTATAAAGCTGCATTTACAGAGCAGAATATTAAGAGTGGCTTTCGAGCAACAGGTAATTATAATAATCTTTATAGTAAATACTACTAACTTAGTTATAGGGTTAGTTCCGTACGATCCAAATACTGTCCTTTCGCACCTTGATCTCCGACTAAAAACACCAATCCCACCACCTGTTGAAAAGGAGACTTGGACCTCAAAGACACCCCAGAATGCGACTGAAGTTGAATTCCAAACAACACACCTTAAGAATCGAATCGTACGACATCAGAATAGCTCTCCAAGTTCAATAAATGAGGCATTTGACCAGCTTGCTAAAGGAGCTCAAATAATGGCCCATTCATTTACACTCCTTAAAGCTGAAGTCAAGGCGCTACAGCAGGCGAATGCGCTCAAAAAGCGAAGGGCAAACAAGCGAAGGAAGCGTATTCAATTAGGTGGAAGCTTGACAATTGAGGAAGGTGATGAGCTCGTACGGAGTACTCAAACTCAGGAGGAGGAGGGTGGTGATGCCACACAGGGTCAGCGCAGGAAAGAAAACCACGACGATGTGGCACATGTAATCAAGTTGGACATAATGCTCGTACGTGTAAAGAGGCATTAGATTCAATTACTGTAGATAGCTAGAGTGTTTTAAAGGGTTGTTGTTATAATATACCTACGAAGTTGTATTTTGGTGGTTATTTTGCACGGTTCGACCGGGTGCACGGTTCGATTGGGAAATACGTTATATTATATATATATTGCAGATGTATATATATATATATTATATAACGTGCATGTATAACGAAAGTGCCAAACAAGCGAAAGTGCCAAAATATCGCGACTACCCCATAAGAATTGCGATAAATCCACCATAACAATATAAATTAATTAAAACTACTCGGAGTCCTCTTCCTCAGACCTGTCTATTACAATCTGACAAGTGCGCGCATTGTGTCCAGTCTCACCACACTTGCCACAGCGACGTGCATGGGTTTCTTCCCTTGGCTTCCGACCACTACTTGCCCTTATTTCTTGCTCTACTTGCTGCACAACGTCCCTCTCGTCCTGTAGCTCCTGTGCTACCTGTTGACTAAGTGATCCTCCTTGCTGTAGTCGTGTTTTTTTAGCTCTCCGGCGCTTGCTTAGCACTTCATTTGCCTGTCGCAGGTTTTGGTTCTCTGCTTTTAACAATGCTAATTGATGCATTATTTGCGATGCACCCTTTGTAAACTGGTCAACAGCTGCATAGATTGAGGTTGGAGAGCTATTTTGATGATGCGCAACTCGGTTTTCAATGAAAGTAGACTGTGATACAGCTTCAGTTGGGTTATTTGGTGTCTGAGAAACCCATGGTTGAGCGGTGTTTGGGCAAGAGGTTGGAGGTGTTGGCGTCTTAAACCTAAGGTCAAGTGTAGATATTACACTCTCAGGGCTAAATGGAAGAAGCCCAGCACCTCGGAACCCTCCCTGAATATTGCTTTCTGTCATTGCAATGTTAAATGCAGCGTGGAAGGCAGGAAAGAAGTCATCCTTAGTAATGTGAATAATATGAGCCCGCATCATATCTTCAATTTGCCAACCGTAAGCTCTCTTTAATGGGCCAAAACAGCCAACATCAAGTGGTTGGAGTATATGGGAAGAGTGAGCAGGCATACAAAGTGTAATAATGTTGTGTTCTTTGCAGTACTCCTCAAACTTGTCTGAGTGGTGGCTCTCATGACCATCAAGGACTAACAAGCGATAACCACCAACACTCCGGGGCTTTGTGTGCTTCTCAAAATGCTGAATCCAATCCATACCTCTCTCGTTTGTAGTCCAGCCATTTGCAGTAACAGCGATTACCCAATCTGCTGGAAATCCGCTATTCTCATACCAAGATGCAAGGTGGTTTTTACCTGCCACAATGACAAATGGCGGCACTGCCCAACCTTGAGAACTAACGCCTTGGATTACTGTAACCCATTCCCGATTGCCAGGCTGCACCTTTTTTGCCTTTGCCCGCCCATCTGAGCTCGTTACTACCGTTGCGCTTGAGATGACGCCCATCATAACCAGTCTCATCAAAGTTGTAGTATATCTGCATTGTTGATGCCATACTTTAGAATTGTGTCCCATACAAGCTCAAACCAGCCACGAATGACTTCTGGATCTTCGCACTTAGCCCTCTGGTAGTCGTATTTTCGCTGGAAGCGTGTCCGGAGCTCTACATGGCGCTTAACAAAGTTTGAAGCCCAACGTGACCCGACGCGTGGCGCGTCGCGTGTTGCAAGTAGTCGATTTGCCATATCTTCAACAATAGACAACTGAGGAGGGAACCCTTTAGCAGCTAAGTCAAGTATATACTGAACAAGAACTGATTCCTCTAGGTTACTTAATTTCCGTAAGTTGGCTTGGATATCGCGTCGTGAAGGTACGCCTTGTAAACGGTGACGTAGCTTGCGGTGGTCTACGGAATAGATCCTAGCTGCAACTCGAAGGCGCAAATTTGGGTCGCTTTGCATAACTTGGATAGCTAGCACTAATTTGCTTTCATCATTTTTATGGCGCATGTTTTGTTGTGGAGGAATTTAACATTTAGTTGGGGGGGTTGGTCACCGCATGATTTTGGCACTTTCGCTTGTTTGGCACTTTCGTTATAAATGCACGTTAACGTTATATATAATATACATCTGCAATCAACATTTTAATTACCAACACCATCTCACCAATATCCAACTCCACGCCAACCCAAACGCTAACCCAGCCCCCCTTTACACCCGTCCATTCTCCCCACCCTCCACGTTTCTCCTCCTCCTCCCCAACCTCCCCCTCAGCTTCCCCCTCCCCCCAAGCCCAACCGCCAACTCCTCCAACGACAAACTCGATACCACCCACCTCCCCCTCTCCTTCCCCCCATCCACGCCCTTCGCCGCACTCCCTCTCGGCCCCTGCACCTCCGGGATCCACGCCCACGCCACGAGCGCTCCAATCCCCATCAGCGGCGCAAAGGCGATCAAAAGGTACCCTAAGTGGCGAGAGTGGGGGTCGTTGATGTGCAGGGAGGGAAGGAAGGCGACGACGACTATGGAGCCGAGTTTTCCCAGAGAGGCTGAGATGCCGTGGCAGGTTGCGCGGTAGCGGGTTGGGAAGAGCTCGGCGGGGAGGATGAAGGTTAGGGTGTTTGGGCCTGGTGGGGGTGTTAGTGGGGGGTCGGGAAAGAGGACTTTCAGAGGGGGGAGGAAGGTAAGGTTGAGAAAAGGGGCCCCGTATGGGGAGAATGTGAAGGGAAAGAGAAAGGGAAAAAGGGAACGGAAAAAACGTACCAAGATTAAACAACAACTGCACCAACACATAAAGCGTAATAACAAGGGCATGCAAATCCGTATCCACAGCCCTAAAATAACTCCCCCCAATAACTGCAAACAGCACCCCCATCCCCGCAAAACTCCACACCAACCACGCCCTCCTCGGCACATAATTAATCGCCTTAATCAGCACCGCGCTCCCCACCAACGACCCCGCCGCATCCGTAATAATCGCCCTCACCCCATCCAGCCTCAGCGTCTCATAGATCCCTATCCCCACATCCGCCGGGTTTGCCCAGCTCGGAATCAACTCCTCCACCACCTCGACGCGTTTAGAAGACCAGAGACGAGCGATGGTGCGTGGGTTGTTGATACCGAGGCCGTAGAAGGCGAGGTCGAGGAGGAACCAGGTCAGGGCTGTGCCGGCGAGGGTGCGGTAGTTGCCTTCGGTCCAGAAGTAGCGTTTGAGTTCGGCGTAGGAGAAGGGGTTGGGGTGCGTGGGGGAGGTGGTGGATGTTGAGCCGGCGTCGTATTCGTCGTCGTCGTCCGGGGGGGCGGTGGCGTGGGTGCTGTGCCGGACGGGGCCACCGCCGCTGAAGTCGATGATGTCCATGCTACCGTCTGAGACGGCGGATGCGGCGTCATCGTCGTCGTCGTAGTGTGCGCGCGGAAGAGGGCGGAGGCCTGGCGTGCCGTCTTCGAGACCGAGGCCGTTGGGGCGGCTGCTGTCATCGTCGGCGGTGGGAAAGGAGGCGCCTGGCTGGCGGAGGTATTGCTCTGTGTCTCTGAGGGCGCGGGCGCCGTCTTGGTCGACGTCCAGGGTGTAGCGAGGGGATTCGGGGATGGTGAGACGGAAGCCGATGGCGATTAGGGCGGGGATGGCGCCGACGCCGATGACCCAGCGCCAGATGCTGTCGACGATCTTTTTGGCGGCTTCGTCGTCGTCTTGCATCAGGTGCAGGCCGCCGGCGCGGCCGACGGTGAGGAGGACGATGAGGCCGACGAGGGAGGCCATTAGTTGGCCGATGGGTTGCATGATGAAGACGGCGGCCATCATGCGGGCCCGGGATTGGCGGGCGGCGAATCTGGGGAGGTTAGTTTTGGTTTGGCGGTGAATTTGGGTTTATTTGCGCCTCTGGAAACTTACTCTGCTGTGATGACAGCACTTAGGGGGTACTCGGCCCCTATGCCTACCCCCACGAAAAACCGCCAGAACATCATCCATGACAGGATGGACATGGAGTCATTATACCCCGCCGAGCTCTGCGCGACGCCAAGGGTGCCAAAGATGACGACAATCAGCTCGAAGCCATATAATTTCCTACGCCCATATCTATCGGCGAGGAATCCGAAGATCAGCTGCCCGAGACACGAGCCGACTAGCGTGATAATGTTGATCTTGCCCTCTCTGCCGGAGTTGTCATCAGGCCAGTAGACGAAGGCCAGACACGGGAGAATGACATTTGTAGCGAATAAGTTGTATGAGTCGGTGAAGAAGCCCGAGGCGGCCACAGCCCACACCTGCCAGTCAAAACCGTTGTTATCGATATCACGACAGATCTGCTCTCTCTTGTCGTCGTTGGTCTGGGGAAAATTCGTCAGAGGCGCGTTCGCGGTAGACGCTCAGCAGCGGAGTCACTCACCGTGTGGTGCCGGCCAACGTCGGTGGGATTGATCCAGACACGCATTGGGAAGATGGAGTTGGGGGTTTAGAATGCCTAGGAGGCTACATGATAGAGATGAAGGGCGAGCAATGGGCGGGCATGCGACAGATAATATGAGGCCATGAGACGAGGGCATGTGGGGAAAAGGACGTTCACGGAGCCTTGGACTTGGCAGGGCTCTCTCGGATGGTCATAGCAGGTGCCGGGGCATAAAATCATGGAGTTGGGGGGTCGGCACGATGAGGCTGGGAACGGAGGATATGGTGTCGGGAGGAGATGTATGGGGAGAGGGAAGTGAAGTAAGCTAAGTTGTGAGTGATATAATGAGAGGCGTACGTAACTGGCGCCGACCGGTGTGTTGGGAGGAGAGGAAAAGGGGGGCGGGAAGGACAGGGAGAAAGACAGAAGAGAGATGGAAGCAGGCAAAGAAAGAGAGATCTATCGTGGATAGCATGGGTGGCTGAGATGGCTGGGATAGTTGCTGGTATGATAGCTAAGCCTCAATTCCCAGAGACGACTTGATATGGAGTAGTGCGTAGAGAAGGGGCGGCTGAGTCGTCGGAGTGGTGTCCTCCTTGTCGACGGCGCATAGGGTGTACATGGTCAGAGGAGAGATATTACATACATCTATATGGTAAATGACATATATTTATATGGTAATTGACATACATTTATATGGTAAATGCGTAGGAAAGCCGTGTACTGTGGATGATAATATCCATGCTTTCGGTGTGCAGATGAGGCCGGACGAGAAATGAGACGTCAGAAACGAGCTTCCAAAGTATCCCTTCATACAGATATGTGTGATGGGATACTTCTACTGTCAGCGTGCGAACCCCTGGTCGCTCGTGCCGCCGCCCCTGCCCGCCCTTGCCAAAGCTTAAATCCACTCACAGCATCGCATCCACCCACGTTCCCGCCGCCGTGTCCTGTGATAGGTCCGTTCTCACTTCGCTAACACTCTTTGATACTGTACTGGTCGTCGTCGTCGTCGTCGTGCTAGAGATGATAGCACCGCTGCAACTCTCCTAATAATCTCTCAATAGTCTCTCCCTCAGCCACAATTCTAGCGCCACATACGCTGCACGAACCAAGGCCATCATCACTCGTCATTACACTTTCCTCCTTGCCGCTTGCGCTACTGCATACCTTCCCTTCCCTTCCCTTCCCTTCCCATCTCCCAACACACTAACTTACAGACCTAGACCAGGCCAGGAAACAAGGGGATATCTCCCCTCCCCCTCCACTCCATGTTATGGTTATGCCCATCTGACGATCACTCAGCCTTCCCGATTCCCGAGGCCACTTGCCAGTCCCTCCCTGAGACCCTGAGTCCCCAACTATGGGAATTGACTCCTTCCCACGAGACATTTCCGTGGGATAGAACACACTACTGTACTCACTGTACTCTCCTGCCTGCATTATCTGCACGACCACCTGCCCTAACGTAGGTCCCGCCACCACGGCCGCGTCCGTCCTGTCGCAAAATCGCCGAGCCACTTACTCGCTGCCTACCTGCCTGTCTCCCGTCCCTCCCTCCAAATCTGTGCTCGGGCCCCTGTTGCGCACCATAGCTGCCATGCGATGTCCTGACCCGTCGTCCCCTCTGTACCAAGAGAAAGGGGAAAGGGTACAACCAGAGAATTCAGGACACGTCCCCAGCCCCCGACCACCCTACTCTACTACTGGCTGGGCTGGGGAGCCGGGCAGTACAGTACTTTGTCCCATATGCGCCTCCCAGACACTCACCATCACCCCCCCCCAACATCCCACACGTCCCTTCCCTTCCCTTCCCTTCCCTTTCCCTCACCCAACCGCCCACGTCAACCCCCCCCCCCCCTTCACCTCCCAAGTTGCCAAGTTCCCGCTCTCCATAGCCCTACGTGGATAAATATCCATTTGGGCCTTCCATCTCATGTTTTTCAGAACTTATTCCCGCCATACTATAACTCCACTCACTTGTTCGTGATCACCCTCGGACCGCATGAACTGTATGCGGTTCGGAGAGTCATCATGATGCCGTGCACGCGACTGCGTTATCGGCTTATACTCTTTGACCTCGTCCACTTCTGATAACTGAAAAAAAAAAAAAAAAAAACGGAGGCCTCGTGCCCTCCCAAAGATGGCCGCCCCAGGCTTCTCCGTCAATGAGCTGATCAGTGCCGCCATTCAGATTAAAAATGTCTATGGTGCCTTCTTTGACAAGCACTCGAACTCGGCGACGCAGTATGAGGACCTGATCCACGAGATTACGTCCTTTGCAGAGATTGTGGAAATGAACCGGGAGGCCTTTGAGCGAGCTGGGCTGCGTTATGCGCAGTATGAAGCGATCTACAAAACTCTAAGTAGAGGCTACGATTTTCTGAAAAAGAACAAGCCCATATTGTCGAACAAGATGACTCCAGAGGCGATGTGGAAGATTGCCAAGTTTCAGTATAGCCAAGACTACGTTCAAGGACTAAAGGAGACGATCCGGGCCCATAAGGCGGACCTAACAGCCCAATCTGTCCTTCATATACTGTAAGCCCTCCACTGTTTTGCTTATGTTCATATAACTAACAACCCACAGGAACAAAACTACAACAGAACCACAGGCTGAAGAGGTAGCCGTACCTGATAAGCGGCGGGGAACCATCAACAACTCGACCTATCCCGTCTCGGAAACCCTGGATGGCCTTCCGATTCCAAACCTACCCACTCCAGATAGCGCGATAATCAATAACAAATACCAATACCAATATATGACGGTCCCCGTGAGTACTAACAGAAGCTCTCCGAGCAGAACCCCTCCCAGCAGGAGCCTAGAAAAGGCCGGGTTCTATCACGACAGCCAGACTCTATCTCCGCACCGGGCTCCATCGTCTGGACCGAGCCCACAGAACAGCCCCGAGCTCTCGACAGCCGACACTATCAGTAGCTCCATCAGTCCACGTAGCAGCCCTGTCCCTCCGACATCGAGCCGCCTATCTAGCATTGCATCACCGCAGCTCTCCTCATGCCCCGAGATGATTCTGCCACAGCCTGCGTTAGATTACGTCGTTGCTGAGGTGTAGGTTTACTCTCTCCCTCCTCTGAGTTGATTTCTAACTGCAGACAGATTTTTTGGGTCAAAAAAAATCGATATCAGGCGCAAGCCAGCTGGAAGGCCCTCTACATCACCAACATCACCAGGCCGCGAGCTCGTCATCATCAACGAGGAGAACAAAGAGCGCCTAAAGCACCGAAGTAAGTATATCAAGTCCCCCTATTATTCAGTCAACTAACCACTCTAACAGTCAAGCTCGGGTCGACACAGCGCTGCTATCCATACACCTGGAACAGCGGAAACCACCCCACTCTAGAGGTGACCTTCACCCAAGGTAGCCACTCCCTGTATTTCAAAGGCAAGCCACAAGAGCTCGGACCGGCCATCCCACGCTACGTCTTTTCCAACCTCGCCGACTTCACCGAGTTCCAGTCCGCCGTGCGCAACAAGTTCTTTCTTGGTGCCTTCGCTGTGAACAAGATCTCCTCCGAGACGTCCCGAAAAAATGGTGACGCAACGTACCAGCACCTTAAGATCTGGCGTGATAAGGAGACGGGACAGTGCTCGCTCTCTTTTTATGGTAGTTCTTTGGAGAAGGCGAGAGATTTAGATTTCCCGTTCAAGTATATCAAGAAGGAGCCCGAAAAGACGAAGCGCAGTGAGGAACTCATCCTCCGCTTTGATCCGCTCCCGTGGAGTCAGCTCCGAACTACATCTCCATCGATCAGTCAGGGGTATTTCAGCTCACCGTCTGAGTCTGAATACACCAGCAACAACATCTTCAGCACCATTACCACAGACCGCACGGCGTCGACAGGTATGGTCCCTCTTTTTTGTTTTGTTTATCTGCTCCTGTCCCTCCCCTGAGATCCAGCTAACCCCCTCCATCATAGGCTTCTTTAGCCGCCGCTCCACAGCCGCCTCGTCCACAACAGCCGCCACGAGCTTCGCCACCATCACGCCCGGCTCGCGCGCCCCGTCCTTCGGTAGCCAGCACTCCGACAGCGGACACTCCATTACTAGCGAGCGGCCGACGACGTCGTCGATGGAAGATCTGGCGCGGAAGATGAAGTTTCTCAAGATTACATTTCCTGATGCTGCTGGTGCGTCCCCCCCAGCCTTTCCCCCCATCCCTTGATGACAAGGTTGTACAGACCAGAAACTAACCCACAACAGAAGCAACCCGCTTCCGCACCGCCTACAAAGCAGCCATAGACGACACCCCCTCCCTCCCCATCGACTTCACCCGCGTCGACTGGCGCGGCTACCCCCACCCCACCGCACGCCTCACCTCGATAAGCGCACCCGCTGCCGTTAAGGGCATGTATACCGCGGAACTCGAAGGCACGAGACCCCGAGTTAGTGGTAGTGCATACACCGTTGAGATGGAGGGTGACGGGAGGTTTCCAGCAGAGATGGGAGGAGGCGGGGAGTTTGCGGTGGAGATGAGTGGGACGAATAATTACCCCGTTGAGATGGGGGAGGCTGGCGCTTATGCGGTGGAGATGGGGGGGGGAGGACAGTATCCGGTCGAGATGGGGGAGGGGGAGTATACGGGGGGGATGTATTCTGCTGAGATGAGGGGGACGCCGGATCTTTGGTAAAGAAGGGATGGTATTGGTAGTAAATGATATTATTTGGGTTGGGCGTATGGATGATGGGTTTTGGGGACGGGGGAGGGATAAAATGGGTGTATGGTAGAGGGGGTAGTAGTATGGGGATATAATACATAAGGTTTACCGTATCTCACGTGGAACCACTTGGTCGGGGTGTGGGTTTGGGAATTTGTATAATCTGGAGCAAAGGGGGTGGACAACGAAGGGAAGGGTGATGTTTTCGATCTCGAATAATGAACTTCACTCGAGTGATAAATTTGGCCCACTTATAAGCGCTTACAACAACGACTCTATATAACCCGTCTTCCTCCTCTGACAACAACATTGGAGACCAAGATCACCACACGTCCGATAGTAAGTTTGAATTTGTTATATCTATTTAAATTTCACATACTGATATTGACAGCGGTGGACAACCCCGTGCTTGCTACCATGGACCTATTTCGTGCCACTATCGCCAGGCTTGAAAGGGCTAAGATCGCCAAAACGTGGGCTTCTCTGAAGATAGATGCTGGACTTGCATACGATCTGGTGAGACGCTCTTTCTGGTATCGATTGAGCCACACTAACACATTGAACAGAGAGCAGAGAGCAGAGAGCCCAGCGCCTGAGTTCATCTCGATGGGAATTTATGTCGACCGCCGCAACCAGCCCCAGGCAGGAGATATCTTCGAACTCGATGATACGTTGATCCCTGTACCAGATGTCTTCCTAAAGCTGGCAAAGGCTACAGAGCTATGGTATCATTGTATGCCACTTTATGGGATTGCAAACTGCCTCACCAAGGATGTCGGTCTACGTGGATTCAAATTTGAGTTTTTTTAAGATGAAGATAAAAGAACACGTCTCGTCGGTCTCTCAAGCCACCCTGGGTCGCGGGTTTCTCCTTTCATGCACGATTACAGTGTGCAGCGAATCGTGATTCGGCATGATTCACCCCGAATCAGATTCGATTCATGATCTGATTCGGGCTATTTCTTGATGATTCGAATCATGATTCGGCAAGTATTTGAATGATCCGAATACTTGCCAAGATGTCTAAGATGTCCAAGCGTCTAGCGGTGAGGACTTACTGTCGTCCTCAATATATAGCTTTTTAGATTGACATTTAATACATTCAATCATTACAATTATCATCATTATGAGTGATTCCGAGTTGTCTGACGCCCCTGAGGATCTTGACGATCATGTTATTTATGAAGATAACAGTAATGATGGAGTATTCTCATCGTCTTCGCTATCATTACCACAAAGCAGTACCGCAACACTACAGCTACCAGTCACTCATTCTGCTCTTTTTACAAAGAATCTATATTCTCGTACTATCTTAAGAGGCTCTCCTAATAAGATGCAATATGCTTGTACGCAAGAAGGCTGTTCATATATGCCTGAAGCTAAACCGGTATCGCAAAATACAACAAGCAATTTATGGAGACATATTGAACTAAAGCATCCAACTATCTTTGAAGCGTCTTCAAAATCTACTCGAAAACTTCAGAATAAAGACAATATCCACCCTCAGAACCGTGCATCTTTGTCTAGATTCTTCAAGCCAAATCCTCATGGTACAACTCCAGTGTCAGGCACCATCCGAGAATTGTTACTTGCATTCATCATTATGAATAATCTACCAATGAGACTGGTAGATAAATTCTCATTCCGGCAGCTAGTGCATTACCTCAATCCTTCAGTCTTGAGTATTTCTTCAACGTCTTTGAAAAGGGACCTACACAGGCAATTTTGCTATCATCGAGGGCAGCTACAACTGGAACTGCATAATCATATTAAAGCAGGTGGGCGATTATCACTTACGACTGATGCTTGGACTGCTATAAATGGAACAGATCATGCTGCTGTTACCGTACACTGGATATCAAAAGATTGGGTCCAACATTCAAGAATCCTAGATGTGATAAATCTACTTGAACCTATTCATTCTGGCGAATACCTAGCTCAGCAATTACTCTCAGTTACAGATGATTTCAAAATTACACATGGAGTCTTTACTATCACAAGAGACAATGCGTCAAATAATACAGCAATGCTCAACCAATACGAATCAAGAGCAGCAGATGTTCCAACAACAACAAATCAGCCATGGAGCTTTACTGTTAAAGATGGCGATGTACGATGTATGGCACATATTATAAATCTAGCTGTTCAAGCAGCTCTTATGACGATGAAAGCTGTACCATCAGAAGAGCTTGAGAGCTATCGAGTTCAAGAGGGTTTAGCTTATACTCGGATTAATGCTATCTATTCCGAAAAAGAAGAAGTTGTTAACGCTTTAACAAAGCTCTGCAAGCACATCTATGTGTTTAGGAATCGTCGAGGGTGGAAGGATAGTCTTCGTTCTCATGCTATAGCCACTGGAATCAAGCCTGTTACTCTTACAATTGATATGCCAGTACGATGGAACTCAACATATCATATGCTTCAAAATGCATTGTCAATGGAGGCACCAATCGCAGCCCTTTGTGCATCACAGACTCTTGATATAAGCATGCGTGATATCCAGATTTCTTCAAAAGAATGGGAATTACTTCATGCTCTTGCAGAGTTCTTTGAGATTTTTAAGCGTATCTCAGAAAAGGTGGAAGCAGATGGGTATCCAACACTTAACTACTGTGTTCCATATTATCTACGACTGATGGATAAAATTAAGAAGATCAAGAAGACTGTTAAGCATACATGTATCAACGAAGCTTGTACTGCTGCATTCAACAAATTGGACGACTATTTCTCACTTGCAACAAGCCAACGGTCAAGCCATTCAACAGTTGCAACATATGTGATCCTCGGTTTAATTTTAGTATATTTGACTTCTATTTGCCTGAAAGCTTTTATAACACAAGCAAAGAACGAGCAAGAGCACAGTTTGCAGCTTGTTATCACAAGTATAAAACACGGGACAATGATATTCGAGCAAAGGAAATGGATGCTATGCTTGATAATGAGGATGAGGATATACCTCAAGAAGTGGACTCCGAGGATGAGATGTTTAAGCATCGAAAGCCTATACTTCAAGAGGTTGAATGGAGACGGTGGCTTAATGAGCCAGGAGTTGATAAGCCTGAGACTAATATCTTTAAATATTGGCAAGCAAAGCAGTATCAGTATCCAATAATTGCACAAATAGCTCGAGACTATTTAGCAATTCAGCAACATCAGCAGCATCAGAACGGGTCTTTAGCCAAGGAGCTGACATTGTCACAAAGAAAAGGAATAGACTATTGCCTTCAACAATTAGATATTTACTATGTCTACGGGATTGGGGGATAATTGTCGATGATGAGGATGTCGAAGATGAGGATGTCGAAGATGCAAGTGAACATATAGGTTAGGCATAGTTAAATATTTTCCATAGTTTTCAATATTCTATACACTCTATTTAAGCCTCAAAGATTCGAATCATGACTCGAATTAGATTCGAGTCATGATTCGGCGAATACCTCAAAAATATGAATGAATCACCAAATCGCCGAATCGTATTCGGGAGGTGATTCGCCGCACACTGCACGATTATGGAAGAAGCTATGAAGAATAATTCTACGACGCAATGAGACAAGCTAGCAAGGCCCAACGAGTCCAGGTAGTTGATAGACTCATCGAACCACGCCATATCTTCTACTTGTTCAGAAATCAATTCATGGCCGTCTCGTTCCATTTCATTTTCCACGATCGAGTTCGCCTGGATCCTACTGAAGAAGCCCTTCGCAGGACCTTCGGAAGTTTCTACGCTACATTACCGCTCATATGATCTATGACTTTCTCAGATACTGCATCTCTGCTGGAGATGGCAAGGAAGAATCCCCGATTCAACGAAGTGGGACTGGACGATCTTCTGTTCGGATCAGTTATCGCTCCCCTTCTCCGGTCCTGAGTGTGACATCAGCAAGTCTCTGAGAAGGCTCCCGCATCGCCTGGTTTTGAGGTCGTGGCATTGAGGCGGGCAGGGGGGAAGAGGAGGAAGGAGATAGATGAAGAGGAAGGGTATGGTGACTGGGTTGCTAGGATGAGCTTGCGTGCAAACGTCATTTCGTCCAACAGCTGGAGTGACTGGGACGTCTGATTTGCAATTTGTGGAGTTAATGCAGCGGACTCGTGTTCGTCCTGGCTTTAGTCATAAGTTCGCATGGGCCGCACTCCTTTATGGAAAATGAGTTGAAAATGGTATGGCTGTCCAGTCTCATAACTACAATGGAAGATCTGAGAAAGAACGCCTGGAGCCCATAAACACTGATACCACTTTCAGTCAGTCTAATCAATCATCTCATATTCTGTCTTTGCAAAGCCATCTAAACTCCCCGCCTACCCCAAACGCCCATTCCCCAACCCAATCGACCCTTACCACCCTACCTCATCGCCCCAAAATCCAACTTCCTCGCCACCGCCGGCCGATCCTCACTCCCCACCACCCCGGCCCCCCTCCCCATATCCTTCCCCACCGCTTTCCCCCCCCCCCTTTCCTCGGCAAATCCTCCTTCCTCGTCGGCCTCGGCTCGCAGCTCCACCACGGATGCTCCAGCACCGCCTGCGCCGTGATCCGCGCCCTGGGGTCCAACACCAGCATCGCCATCAGGAGATCCACGCCCTCCTGTCCCGCCGTCCCAAAGGTCCCGAGGTAGGTTTCGCGGCCCCTGACTGGGTTTGGTGGCTCGGGGACGGTGTATTCGGGGAGTTTGCCGACGCCGGGCCATACTTCTTCTGTTGGCGTTCCGATCGCTTGGCAGATCAGGCTGATCTGGTGCACTTCCGTGTCTCCAGCCAGGTACGGCGTGCGGATCAGGAGCTCCGCGAACACCAGCCCGACAGCCCAGATATCGACGGCACCGGAGTAGTGGCGCGCGCCGAAGAGGAGCTCCGGGGGCCGGTACCAGCGCGTGATGACGTTGCTGGTCATTTGCTTATAGGGATCCGCAAATGCGCGGGCGAGACCAAAATCCGCAAGCTTGACCATCCCATCGGCGGCGATCAGCAAGTTATTAGGCTTGATATCGCGATGCAGCACCGCATTGGCGTGGCAGAACCACACAGCGCGACTGAGCATGCCCATCCAAGCCTTGATATCTGCTGCACCATATCGCACTCCCTCGACGTCTTTGATGAGCATCTCCAGATCGCCGAGGGGGAGGAACTCGAGGACGAGGTTGAGGTTCTGGTCGCGCGAGGAGAAGACGGAGTGCAGTGTTATGATGTTGGGATGGGAGAGCTCTTGGAGGTGCTTGAGTTCGCGCACGGCGTCGGGGGCAAGCCCTTCGGTGTACTCGGCTTGGATTTTGATCTTCTTGATCGCGACGAAGTGCGTGGGGTCGCTGCGGAGGGTGCCTAGGTAGACGTTTGCGTAGGTTCCTTCTCCGAGTTTCTTTCCTGGTGGGGGGTTAGCTATTGTCTAGGAGGCTAGGTGGGGAGGGGGGTGCGGGACCTTTGATGTATTTCGCCTTCTCTTTCATGTTCAACTGCTCGGCCAGATCTGGCGCAGCTTCGGGAATCGGCGACGCATTTACTGAGCTGTTCTGGGCCTTCGCGGCTGCAAAGAGCTTTGATCTTGCCCCAGCTGGACTCCTGCCTTGGTCTGCGCCGGGCGCGCCTACAATCAGCGGGGACAACGCCATATCGGCCTTGTGTTGGTTGTAGCTCTAATTGCTGATATCGTCGTCCCTTCAGGCGTACATAACATGCAAGCCTTCAAGTCAACACAATAACATCAAGATTAAGGTCATCAAACCGCGAACGTGGAACGTTGAACTCGCCCCAACTTTTCCGCCTCGTCGTCTCCCATTCGCCAGGCTCCTCCCGGATACACAAGGCTGACAACCACGCGACCCAGTTTTTCCGCTCCCTCAGGTCCGTGCCAGCTTATGTAAGCAACCGACCAAAAACAGCAACGCCGAGCGTACTCGTACTTTGGGTCAATAATTGTCGTAACGCATGGGGAAGTCGAACATATGGGGTAGTCGGACAAAAAATTTATTCTACTCTAGTTGACCTAGTCCTACGTGCCACACACTCCTTCAATTCCAATTCTGAGTCGCTTGAATCATTCTCTACCTCTTCCTCTTCAACTTCCTCTTCTACCTAACGTGCATGTATAACGAAAGTGCCAAACAAGCGAAAGTGCCAAAATATCGCGACTACCCCATAAGAATTGCGATAAATCCACCACAACAATATAAATTAATTAAAACTACTCGGAGTCCTCTTCCTCAGACCTGTCTATTACAATCTGACAAGTGCGCGCATTGTGTCCAGTCTCACCACACTTGCCACAGCGACGTGCATGGGTTTCTTCCCTTGGCTTCCGACCACTACTTGCCCTTATTTCTTGCTCTACTTGCTGCACAACGTCCCTCTCGTCCTGTAGCTCCTGTGCTACCTGTTGACTAAGTGATCCTCCTTGCTGTAGTCGTGTTTTTTTAGCTCTCCGGCGCTTGCTTAGCACTTCATTTGCCTGTCACAGGTTTTGGTTCTCTGCTTTTAACAATGCTAATTGATGCATTATTTGCGATGCACCCTTTGTAAACTGGTCAACAGCTGCATAGATTGAGGTTGGAGAGCTATTTTGATGATGCGCAATTCAGTTTTTAATGAAAGTAGACTGTGATACAGCTTCAGTTGGGTTATTTGGTGTCTGAGAAACTGTCATACTGACATTCGTTGCACTCAGTTTGCTATCAAACTCAAGAGCAAACTTAGAAATCTCCTCCTCAAACCTACAAGTCACCATACATATCTGGGCTTATCACACCAACAACAGAAGCAATACTACTCAACGATTGCTGAAAACTCTTCTACTACATCTGTTTATGCTACATACATCACGGCATATCATTTGGACACTCATTGAACAAGTTATTAAGAAAATCTCCTCCTTAAGGGGGTGGGCCAATACTACCACATGGCATATCTCTACCAACTAGAGGCCTAGGAACATGAACGATAGCTCTAGAAGCTTCTACAACCCTCTATGATTCATTACACGTCATCGCTCCTTAGTTACCCACAAGATTGGTTAAGTTATGACATAATTTGTCTATAGGTACTCTGACCTTGGACCTCCTTTTCACTTCCTATAGGCTAGGAACCCAAGAGATGGTTCTATGGGATTCTCTTACGTTCACTACATGATTAGCAAGCTAGTTGTGGGTCGCACTTGATTTCTAATACATTTACCAAGCCTGGTTAGTCATGGAAAGTCATGGAAAATAAGAGAACTACACTCCTTTGGCATAAATAGGATTGCCCTTTCCTTAAGAAAGGGCAAGCAGGCAATACAGTAAATCGACTAGCACATACTTCGACGTCTTTTCCAAGCTTCCAAGCATTGATCTTGTTATTCTCTGTTTTTGAAAAGTCAGTGAGGTGCTAACCTCTGACTTACCCCTGAGTTCTCAGACTCAACATTTGTTGCAGCTTGTCTAAACCACTTCACCACATCATACACCTGATTGCTGCGTTGTGGAATAGTCTAAGCTACAACCCTTTGGCTCTGTTTCCTAAGACAGTGTGTTGTCTTAGTAAATTCATCCCTTCCTTGGGTGGCTAGATTCTCACATCTGGTGCACCCACCATTACACCTTGCCTGCTTCAAGCTTCAACTATTTCTATAGCAGCACTTCGATACTACAATGGAGGACGACCAAGCTCCTACAACTACTGCTGAACAGCAGATGCAACAACTGTTTGCCTTTATACAAACTATAGCAAACAAACTTGAGAATTTGGAAAACACCTTTCAAGCCAACACTTCAGCAACACAATCTTCAACTCAGACACATCATACAGAGCTTCCCACAGCTCCTCTGGCTATTTCGAGTACCCCAGGTGCACTTCCTAAAGTGCAAACACCAGATTTATACCATGGAGACAGGAGGAAGTTGAAGGGATTTCTTATGCAACTGGACATCTACTTCACCCTCAGGCCTCATCAGTTCACCTCAGACATTCAGAAGATCTATTTCGCTGCCAGCTACCTCCGTGGATCTGCATTCAACTTCTTTGAGCCATATCTTAGAAGACTTAGTGGCAACAACCAAAATACCACTACACCTTTGATTACCTCTTATGACCAGTTTCAAGAGGAACTTACCAGGACCTTTGGAGACATCAACGAAACTGCTACAGCAGAAAGAGAGCTACAGAAGCTATGTCAAAAGACCTCTGCTGCTCAGTATACAACAGAATTTAGGAGAATCACTTCTCACTTGACTTGGAATGAAGAAGCCTTAGTCTTCACTTACTACCAAGGGCTCAAGAGCTCTATTAAGGATGAACTCAGCAAAGAAGAACGCCCTACAACACTTCAAACGCTTATAGAGAAAGCTGTCAGACTTGATGATAGGCTTTTTGAAAGAAGAAAGGAGAAGAACCAAGACTGGCATCCAACAAGAAATTTCAACAATTACACCTCTACACCAACTGCTAAGGACTCAGCACCTGAACCTATGGACTTAGACGCCTCTATAAAGAGATCTACAGCAAATCCAGCACCTCAGCCTACAGGATACCCTCAAAAACTGAAAAGGGGTAAACTTACCCCTCAAGAAAGAAAACACAGAATGGACAACAACCTTTGTTTATACTGTGGCAAAGGGGGACACAGAATTCAGGAGTGCTATTCAGCACGGGGGAGTGCTGATTCAAAACATATAGCAGCCTCAGACACAGTCACAACTGCTATTCCTGAAAAACTTGAAAAATCCCTAGCAGGCACAACTTCAACTGAGACTATAACTTCTCCCCTAGACAACAAAGATGTGTCGATGGTGCTTTCTCAGAGTCTCACACACCTGTTAATCCCTATTCAACTCCATTTCAAACAACAGGTGTTGTCTACAAGGGCTATGATAGACTCAGGGGCAACAGGCAACTTTATATCTCAAGACCTCATCTTGACACACCAGTTACCTACAATTCCCAAACGCACTCCAGAGTTGCTCCGAGTCATTGATGGAACTCCTATCAGTTCAGGTTCCATTACCTGCAACACCCCAGTACTCAAACTTGAGATTCCCCTAGGAAAATCAACATTTTCAGACACCATCTCTTTAGATGTTATACCAATGAAGTACCCAGTTATCCTAGGTCTTCCATGGCTTCAAAGGCATGATCCAACTATCAATTGGAAGCATTTATCGCTTGGGTTTAGCTCAAATCCTGAGCTCAATACTGAAAAAACCCTTCAAGCCTCAGTTACCCCTATTCAGGTCCAAGACTCAAACTTGTCCCAGATCAAGGATTTTGACCAAACTATGGACGATATATCATCTCTGATATGGGTGAAACCTTTCCAACCTGTCCTGGAGATAGCAGCTACTTCAGATTTGGAGAAATCATCTCAGGAGGTCATTTTGCCTTTAGCATACCAAGACTACCAACATCTTTTTGACAAGGCAAAGGCATCAATTCTGCCAAAGCACCAGCCTTATGACCATGAGATACCACTCGCAGAAGGCTCAATGCCTCCCTACGGCCCTATCTACTCTCTATCTGAATTAGAGCTGAAAACTCTCAGAGAATACCTAGATGAGAACCTTAGTTCTGGCTTTATCAGACCTTCTTCCTCACCAGCAGGAGCTCCCATTCTCTTTGTCAAGAAGAAAGATGGCTCCTTGCGTCTCTGTGTTGATTATAGGGGCCTTAATGCAGTCACTGTTAAAAACAGATATGCTTTACCCCTTATCCCTGAGCTCATAGATAGGCTCTCTTCAGCAAGGATCTTTACCAAGTTAGATCTCAGGGGAGCTTATAACCTGATACGCATCAAGGAAGGTGATGAGTGGAAGACAGCATTCAGAACACGCTATGGTCATTTTGAATACCAGGTAATGCCTTTTGGGCTTGCCAATGCACCTGCTTCTTTCCAAGCTCTCATGAATGATATTCTAAGACCTTACTTGGATATCTTTGTTGTTGTCTACTTAGACGACATTCTTATATACTCTTTAGATACTCAAGAGCATGTTCTACATGTTAGACAAGTCTTAGAGAAGCTATCTCAAGCACAACTCTTTTGCAAACTTGAGAAATGTCTTTTCCATATGTCTCAAGTTGATTTCTTAGGACATAGAATTTCAACAGAAGGCATTCAGATGGACCCTGAAAAGACAAAAGCAGTACAAACGTGGCCTATTCCTTCCAGCATTAAAGAGGTTCAGTCTTTCCTTGGGTTTGCCAACTATTACAGGAGGTTTATACCAAGATATACATCCTTGGCTTTACCCCTTACTCAATTACTTCACAAGGACACTTTGTATCACTGGGATAAGACACAGCAAGATGCTTTCGATGCTCTTAAAGGAGAATTTAAAGAAGGGAAAATGTTACTACACTTTAACCCCTTGAAACCTGCCACTCTTGAGACAGATGCCTCAGATTTTGCCATTTCTGGAATCTTATACCAAGCTCCAAAAGACAAACAAGAAGAGCTACAGCCTGTGGCATTTTACTCAAGAAAGCTATCAGCAGCTGAACAAAACTATCCCATTACAGACAAGGAACTGCTTGCCATAGTATGTTCTCTAAAGCATTGGAGATGCTACCTTGAAGGGGCAAACTATCCTATCACTATTTACAGTGACCATTCAAATCTCTTGACCTTTACAACCACTAAACAGCTCAATCGACGACAAGCAAGGTGGTCTGAACAACTAGGAGGTTTTGACTTTGTTATAAAACATGTCTCAGGGGCCAAGAATCAAAGAGCAGATCTCCTCTCAAGAAGACATGACTACCAAGATTCTGCTAAAACTAGCAATACAAAGGCTCTGCTAGACTCAGCAAAGCTTATAGCAGCATCTTTAAGCAACCCTAGTACTACAGAGGACTTAGGGGTAAACTTATCCCCTCAAGACCAAGTTGCCCCCATTACCTCTTCTCAGGAACCAGAGACCTTTAAAGACTATACACCCTCAGCAACACTTCTTAAAGCATTCAAAGATGCTTACAACCATGATCCCTTTGCGAAAAGAACTTTGGAATACCTCCAGAAGAAAGGTTCCTCTCTTGAGAAAGTTGGACTACAGAATTTCTCAAAAAATCAGCATGGACTTCTCTTATTCAAGAACTATATCTATGTCCCAAGGGATAAACGATTACAGCTACACCTCCTACAGCAGTTCCATGATGCTCCAGCTGCAGGGCACTTTGGCTTTGCAAAAACTTATGAACTTCTAACAAGAAAGTTCTACTGGCCTAGTCTAAGGACTACTCTTCAAGACTATATATCTTCTTGCACTACTTGCAACTTGAACAAACCTACACGGCAAAAGCCCTATGGCCTCTTGCAGCCTCTACCTATACCAGAACGCCCATGGGACTCCATATCCATTGACTTTATAGTCAAGTTGCCTCCTTCTATCCCAAAAGGGGGTGCTACCCCTTATGACTCTATCCTTGTGGTGGTAGAAAGGCTCACAAAAATGGCACACTTTGAGCCTTGCAATGAGACTATCACAGCTTCTGAACTTGCGTGGCTATTCCTCAAGGTGGTCTTTAAATATCATGGAATTCCTGGACACTGGATCTCAGATAGGGGAGCAGTTTTCACTTCAAACTTTTTTAAGGAGTTCTCTAAACTCTTAAACATGGAACAACGCTTCTCTACAGCTTATCACCCTCAAACAGATGGCCAGACAGAGAGAGTCAACTCTGTACTTGAACAATATCTAAGAATTTATACAAACTATGCTCAAGACAACTGGGCAGATCTTCTCCATCTTGCAGAATTTGCTTACAACAACACAGTCTCTAACACCACAAAAGAGACACCTTTCTATGCAAACTATGGTTATCACCCTAGGTTTGAAGTGGCAGAACTGAATTGCCCTGAAAATTTCAAAAACCCTTCTGCTACTGAAAGAATCATCTACCTTAAGGGCCTCCAGGACTATCTCAAGGTTCAAATACAGCGTGCACAAGACGAGCAGGCTCAGGCCTTTAACAGGGGGGTGGTTGCACCACAATTCAAAGTTGGTGATCAAGTCTTTTTGTCTAGAAGACATATCACAACTACTAGACCTTCAGACAAACTTGATACTAAAAGACTTGGACCTTTTAAGATCACAAGGACTATTGGCAAGAATGCTTTCGAGCTTGCATTACCACCTACTTGGACTATCCATAATGTCTTCCATGCATCTCTCTTGTCTAAGGCACAAGAAAGTTCCTTAAGACCACTTCAGTCTCCTCCACCTCCTGTTCTGATCTTGGATCAACCAGAATATGAAGTAGAGTCTATCCTTGACAAAAAGACACTTAGAGGTCAGGACTACTTCCTCGTTAAGTGGAAAGGCTATCCTACAAGTGACAACACTTGGGAGCCTAAGAGAAATCTAAAAAATGCATCTAAGCTCATTCTAGAATTTCTTTCTAAGAAAGCCAACTGGCTAAAGGGCAAGCAGACAGCCAACAAACGTCCTTAAAAGGGGGATCATGTCATACTGACATTCGTTGCACTCAGTTTGCTATCAAACTCAAGAGCAAACTTAGAAATCTCCTCCTCAAACCTACAAGTCACCATACATATCTGGGCTTATCACACCAACAACAGAAGCAATACTACTCAACGATTGCTGAAAACTCTTCTACTACATCTGTTTATGCTACATACATCACGGCATATCATTTGGACACTCATTGAACAAGTTATTAAGAAAATCTCCTCCTTAAGGGGGTGGGCCAATACTACCACATGGCATATCTCTACCAACTAGAGGCCTAGGAACATGAACGATAGCTCTAGAAGCTTCTACAACCCTCTATGATTCATTACACGTCATCGCTCCTTAGTTACCCACAAGATTGGTTAAGTTATGACATAATTTGTCTATAGGTACTCTGACCTTGGACCTCCTTTTCACTTCCTATAGGCTAGGAACCCAAGAGATGGTTCTATGGGATTCTCTTACGTTCACTACATGATTAGCAAGCTAGTTGTGGGTCGCACTTGATTTCTAATACATTTACCAAGCCTGGTTAGTCATGGAAAGTCATGGAAAATAAGAGAACTACACTCCTTTGGCATAAATAGGATTGCCCTTTCCTTAAGAAAGGGCAAGCAGGCAATACAGTAAATCGACTAGCACATACTTCGACGTCTTTTCCAAGCTTCCAAGCATTGATCTTGTTATTCTCTGTTTTTGAAAAGTCAGTGAGGTGCTAACCTCTGACTTACCCCTGAGTTCTCAGACTCAACATTTGTTGCAGCTTGTCTAAACCACTTCACCACATCATACACCTGATTGCTGCGTTGTGGAATAGTCTAAGCTACAACCCTTTGGCTCTGTTTCCTAAGACAGTGTGTTGTCTTAGTAAATTCATCCCTTCCTTGGGTGGCTAGATTCTCACATCTGGTGCACCCACCATTACAGAAACCCATGGATGAGCGGTGTTTGGGCGAGAGGTTGGAGGTGTTGGCGTCTTAAACCTAAGGTCAAGTGTAGATATTACACTCTCAGGGCTAAATGGAAGAAGCCCAGCACCTCGGAACCCTCCCTGAATATTGCTTTCTGTCATTGCAATGTTAAATGCAGCGTGGAAGGCAGGAAAGAAGTCATCCTTAGTAATGTGAATAATATGAGCCCGCATCATATCTTCAATTTGCCAACCGTAAGCTCTCTTTAATGGGCCAAAACAGCCAACATCAAGTGGTTGGAGTATATGGGAAGAGTGAGCAGGCATACAAAGTGTAATAATGTTGTGTTCTTTGCAGTACTCCTCAAACTTGTCTGAGTGGTGGCTCTCATGACCATCAAGGACTAACAAGCGATAACCACCAACACTCCGGGGCTTTGTGTGCTTCTCAAAATGCTGAATCCAATCCATACCTCTCTCGTTTGTAGTCCAGCCATTTGCAGTAACAGCGATTACCCAATCTGCTGGAAATCCGCTATTCTCATACCAAGATGCAAGGTGGTTTTTACCTGCCACAATGACAAATGGCGGCACTGCCCAACCTTGAGAACTAACGCCTTGGATTACTGTAACCCATTCCCGATTGCCAGGCTGCACCTTTTTTGCCTTTGCCCGCCCATCTGAGCTCGTTACTACCGTTGCGCTTGAGATGACGCCCATCATAAACCCAGTCTCATCAAAGTTGTAGATATCTGCATTGTTGATGCCATACTTTAGAATTGTGTTCCATACAAGCTCAAACCAGCCACGAATGACTTCTGGATCTTCGCACTTAGCCCTCTGGTAGTCGTATTTTCGCTGGAAGCGTGTCCGGAGCTCTACATGGCGCTTAACAAAGTTTGAAGCCCAACGTGACCCGACGCGTGGCGCGTCGCATGTTGCAAGTAGTCGATTTGCCATATCTTCAACAATAGACAACTGAGGAGGGAACCCTTTAGCAGCTAAGTCAAGTATATACTGAACAAGAACTGATTCCTCTAGGTTACTTAATTTCCGTAAGTTGGCTTGGATATCGCGTCGTGAAGGTACACCTTGTAAACGGTGACGTAGCTTGCAGTGGTCTATGGAATAGATCCTAGCTGCAACTCGAAGGCGCAAATTTGGGTCGCTTTGCATAGCTTGGATAGCTAGCACTAATTTGCTTTCATCATTTTATGGCGCATGTTTTGTTGTGGAGGAATTTAACATTTAGTTGGGGGGGTTGGTCGCCGCATGATTTTGGCACTTTCGCTTGTTTGGCACTTTCGTTATACATGCACGTTATTGTCTGCTTGCCCTTTCTTAAGGAAAGGGCAATCCTATTTATGCTAAAGGAGTGTAGTTCTTTCATTTTCCATGACTTTCCATGACTAACCAGGCTTAGTAACTGTAGTCAACGTAAGAGAATCCCATAGAACCATCTCCTAGGTTTCTAGCCTATAGGAAGTGAAAGGAGGTCTGTAAGGATGCCTGTCCCTCAGTGACAGAAAGGATCTGAGTCAGGCAGGTTACGGTCACATGATAAGAGTAAAGGCAGGTTAGCCGAGTCGGACCCGTTTCGGGTACTTGAGGAGATTGACCCAACGGGGGTTCCTCTCTTCATCTTTTTTGTATCCTTCGTAGTAGACCTATAGGATAGCATCTGTTTAGCCTCCGACTCGCACTCTCATATGCTATTACTGTGAGCTGGGTGCCCTGTGTCCTTACATTATACAAAAAAGATCACGCCTGCCGGGGACGGCCGTACTTCAATAATATCCCACACCGGAACGACTCAGGAGAACTACCATCACGACATCGACCGCGACTCGGTGACGTTTCGGAGGAGAGACCTGACGACTTCAAATAGCCGTGATTCCAGAGATCTCACGGACAGCCAGTGGATCAGGGTTTGATTCTTCAGAACAAGCTGGTAAAGGCATCAGTGAGCAAGAGAGGTGAGCATCTGCTCACCTCTCTAGCTTTAATAGAAGCGTCCCTGTAGAGGGAGGTCTATTAACTGTGTTATTTTATCACTGTTGCGGCCAAAGTCAATCATTTTAGACTGCGTTGGAGCGTATATGATTTTACCCATATTTGGCATACCCGCAATGCTGCAACGCTGGCGGCGAATCAAGTGATACCCTCACACACGTAAAGTCTAATATATTGCAGATGGATCCAATATAACCCAAGGGCAGTTAAATAAAATTTGTGGCTCTAGATAACACATAATGGGGCCCAGTAATGCATTTAAATCAAATACTATTCTCACAACGAAGCCTAATATCCTATAGCAGTATACAATTACACACATTTGCTTCCTATATCACCTCCTTAAACCTCGAATCGCGCGCCGGGCTCAACGGCCTCGAACTCTTGAAAATCGGCATCGCCACATCCGCATCATTGAACTGATCCCTCGCCTCCTCCGACTCATATCCCTCCTCCTCCCTCGGCGCCGCCGTTTCCTTCACCGGGTTAGACACCAAACTACCACCTGCAGCCGACCCCTCTTGTTCCTGGGTGTACTTGGACCTATCCGTGCTCGTCAAGAACTCCGATACAGGAACCTCATTCTCATCGCCACCACCCATCGTCTTGGTAGCCACCTGCGTCGGCGTCCCGTCAGGCTGCTGAACAAGAGAAGCTCCCCCAACAAACAGGCCTCCAGCACCGTTCTGTTTCTCCAGCTCCTCCTTCTGACCCTTGCTCGTCCGGCGGAACGCCGTCTTCAGCCACGACTTGACTCCCTGCTGTGAGGTCGCCAACGTCTCCGACGGCCGCGTGCTCTTCTGGAGGCGCGTAAACGGCTGTGAACTCTTGCCTTTGTCGGTGTACTCGGAGACGAGGATCTCGGGGACATCCTCCTCTTCGATAGGCTCGGGAGTTTGGACGGCTAGAGTGGGCGGGGCAGGCTTGACGGGCTCGACAGGCGTAACTGGCTCTGCGACTCGAACGTGCTGGTTAGGTGGTGTGATTGGAGCTTGCTGGACAGGCTGAACTGCTGGTGCGGGCTCGAATGCAGGAGTTGGCTCAGCGCGCTCGACAGAGGGTTCGTATTCAGCGGTGGCGACTCGGTCATTGTCAGAGGCACCTCCACCACCAACTGCCCCGCTCATGGCCATCGGCTCTGGCACGTATGATTCCCTGCTTTGGGTGCTCTTGCTCTTGCTGCTCTGCTTCGACCAGCGCTTGCTCTGCCGCTTGAAGAATTTTTTGTGGCTCTTCTTTTCCTTCTTCTCCTGCTTGTCATGTTCTTACACTAGTTAGCAAAGTTCTTAGCACAGGGTGGGATCCTCGACTTACCTTTCAACTGCTTGTCAATTTCCTTGAGCTCCTGCTCACGCTCCCTTTCCATATCAATCTGACGCTTTGCCTCTTCCTCGTCCAGCTTTATCTCAGTTCGGCGTGCTTGCTGGGCATCAGACTCAGTATTAATCTGGTGCAACACGGGCTGGACGTTCCTGAATGCTAATGCGTCGACGGAACTACGATCAACAAGGGCTCCGTGTCCAATAGATACCTTATCCCCTCGTTGCTGAGGGACCTGTTGCTGTTGCATGCGCTGCTGGGCAATTGCCATGGGCAATGTCTCCTGGCCCATCATAGACGGGGTAGGTCGCCCTGTTTGAGCATAGACGCGCTCGTCGATGCCTTGAAGACTTCTTTGAACGTTGCGTTGAGCCGCGGCAAGTAGCATATCGCGATCCCTTTGCCTCGTTTTGGCGTCAATTTGTGAGAGGTTGGATGAGTATAGCGGTTCTGCTGTTTGAAACCGGACGTCCCGTCTCCGGCCTAGGCTCGCTTCCACTGTTGTATCGCTCGAAGCGCGACGACGGAAGCGCCCTTTGGAAAGCCTCTGGGATGGCTGGGGGCTGCCGTAATAGTCGAGATACTCCCGGTTCTTGTAATTCTCATCGTGAAGCTTCGCCAAGCGCTCTTGAGCAAGCCGTTGTGCAGCTTCTTGAAGGTTGCCATATTTCATGGGCGTCGGCTCGTCACTCATCAAAGAAGTAGACCGTCCTCTCCCATGCGCCGCAGTCGCGGCAAATCCGGCCTCTCCGGTTTCCTTCTCGCGCTTCTCTATAATCTTATACATCTGCTGGGCCATCGCGATCGCCGAGGCGTGCATGCTATCCTCCTTCTGTTTCTGGTCGGCTTCCGAGGGTTGGGACGGGTGTGAGGTGTACCTTTCCTTCCCCATGTTAGTTACTGGGGTCGCTCCGCCCTGTGGAATCTCAGATCTCCGTCTTCTAGATGCGGTGTCCGCGTGCGTTGCTGCGCGCAAAGCATTGGCGCGCGCATTCATCTCGTCGGGGTATTTTGGTCCCAGTGGAGGGGTAGAGTCCGCCCGTGGCCTGGGGCTTGCCATTGCTTCGGTAGCAGCCATCAAGGAGCGATGTCTGTTCAACTGCGAGGCCCTATTCGAGGCCGGTGGGGCTTGTATGCTCCTTCTATCGTTCTGCATCGCCACGTTGGCAGCTGAATTGCCAAGTCCGGCAGAGTCCGGGCTGCGTGGTACGGCTTTTTGATCAGCTACCTTCAGATCCGACTTCGCCGCGAAAACTGCAGCTCGGGCTCCACTGGCGCTCTGCTGAGGCTGCCATGGCGGGTTTGACTTGCGCGTCCAGCCTATAGTGGCAGCGGTTGAAGCTGATGTCGTCGGGCCGGGCTTCCATATCTCGACCGGCTTCTGCTTGGCCCATCCAAGACTCGCGGCTGCGCCGGCGTGCGCATCTTTGCTGGAGGGAAGGCCGATGGAGGGATAGCTGGGGAGATCTTGAGGCCGGGCGTACTTTAGGGAGGCGGCCGCGCCTGGAAAAGTTAGTATGGACCGTGAACTGCTGGGATGACCTACCTGCTGAGGATAGCTTGTTGTTGCTATCTAGATAGCGAGATCCGTTGGTGAGTGTGGTGGAGCCCATTATCCCAGAGCACACGGCGGTTTTATCGTGGGACGGTGAATGAGGGAAAAGTTGGAAATGGAGAAAGTGACATGATGCGAGTGATAAATGGCTGGGCTAGACTCTAGACTGGGAAAATAGCTGGTTTCCCAACTTGGTCAATGATGATCGCCATGATTAATGACATGACCGCATCAGCCTCACCCGATCGGGAAAGGTTTCATGTGGTAACCAAGTCGGACCATCCAGCGGGATCGTGATGTCATCATGCATCGATGACAAGAACTTTTAGATGTGTTACGGATTTGATCGGCCACGAAGTTTGCGATCGCGAAGTCTACAGGCACCGAGGATGGGATTTGGACGATATGCAGAGGTTATAATATTGCTATTTGGTGCATCTCGAGGAATATGATAATAAAATACATGTTGTAACGTATTTCACAGGCGAAGCGATCACTGAACTTCCCACCTAAAATTGAGAAATTTACAAGATAATACTCAACAACAACTTCATAATATATTCTAAAAATGTGTGTATCCTTATATATACACGTAGATTCCTTTATTTTAAGCTTTAAAGCAGTTAGACAGTAGATATTGAAATATAAAGACCTAGTCTAAATTTCATTGCCTAAACTTAATATCTTAAGAACTACTTAATAGATTATTCCTAAATGATTAGGTACAAATTCAATAAATAGGAAAGGCTAGAAATACATTTTTAATATATATTATGAAGTTGTTGTTAAGTTATTATCTTGTAAATTTCTCACTTTTAGGTGGGAAGTTCAGTGATGGCTTCGCCCAGGTGATCGCTTCGCCTGTGAAATACATTACTGCAATTTCTAGACCCTTGGAAAAAATGCGCAATGTGTGAGTGTTTACTACAAGGTCACTCCTACGTAATCCCTATCAATAGACACTAGGTGCCCAGTGAGTGAGACACAGTATGATTGGTGTTTCTACGCAGTGATGATAGTTGACGCCGAATTACCCCTTTTTCTGTTAAAGGAAGGACCGAGATATTGCGACCGCGCGCAAATCGTGGACCTGAAACCTAATGCGCTGGAGTTCTGAGGCAATTGGCTCACGCCAAGCACCAATTGGGGAGCCCGACGATAACACTGGGAAAAGCTGCCATTTTAGGGCCAAAATACCACCGTATCCCATGGTGCCTGTCCTCTTTTCCCCAACATTTCCTTTTCTGTGATTTAGTCACGTCGCAAACTGGGCATTCCTCGCCAACCCAGACTCGCCGTGAAGTCTCCAAATCCACTGTCATGGAAGCCGAGGATTTCCCGCACTTGTCTCAGATCCTCCCACTGCTATCTTCGCCAACGCCCATCCCATCTCTGCGTCCCCAGCTGTGTCTGCCGCGCCGAGACCAAGGGAAGCATCGAGACATCCTTCGCACAGGAATGTGTACGCGAGGAAGGCGTCGCTGACTGACCTGTCGCATCAGTTCTCCAGGTGTCTCATTGATAGAGGTGTCCATTTTTCAGTGCATATAGTTCTCTTGTATTTATAAAGGGTAACGTTATAGAGGTGATGTTTTTGAGAGATGATGGATCTTGTAGAGATGCCCGTGGTTGATATGGACCATGTAGTCACATGACTAGTATAAATGACTTAGCTATGCTGCATAAACCTCGTGTTGAACTAGCAAAAGTGAATCAATCCACTTCTGCTGTAGTTCTTATAGTCGGCTATATTATAACACCTCGTCTCGATAGTAAACACGCTATGACTAAAGCGGATTACACTGTTTAAACTGTCAAAGTTCCCATTTTATCACGTTGATCACACATTGAATCGGATTTCTTTCGCGGATACACAGTAAACGCAAAATCCGAGTCTGTTACTTCTACTGGAGTCAGCTATACTGATGATGAAGTCGACATCCCCGTGCCTACCAGAGATACTCTCATGGCCCCCCTCTCCTCCTACCTCTCCCCCACTCGCACCGCCCCCGCTAATGTAGTAGAGGTAAAATGAGGACACCGGACGGGAAGCGTCTCACCCCCTGGAAAACTGGACTTCTCGGGCTTACTGCGATATAATAAACAATCGACCAGTAAACACACATTCATTCGTACAATTTTACATCTTTCGTATGATACATCCTTTCTACAGTAGTCTATCTAATCTTCCATCTCTCATTCTCTACTCCTCGCCGCCGTTATCACGTGGTGCTCAACATCCGTCCCACGCTACCTACTCGCGAACATCGCACGCATACGGTATGTAACGAATAGCGGAGCAGGGAATGAGGCCTACAGCCGTACAATTCTCGACCTGATATTGGTTACGGCAATGTACGAAGAAAGCAAGCGGGCGGACCCTGATCGGAACATACATCCAGCGCCTGTGCCGCATGTACATCTCTCAGTTGGGCGCTAGGGTACAAATCACCGGAGCAATCAACCAACTGATATATCACGAATGGCTTCAATAGTAAATATATTGTCTGGAGAGCAACGTATTGAGCCAGCGCCAGGATGTTGCACTCGGTGAGTAAACTAAGCCTAAATAGTTCTATATGTGAGACATCTATATGAGAATATCGAATACGTGACATGAACAGCTTCAGTCCCAACTGAGAACATCCACCAGAGGACCCAGCAAGGCTGGAGTTGTTGCACGAGGTGCCATTAAGCGCCGAAGTTATTCACAAAGGGGAGCAGAGGCTGCTGACCGGCTACGCCGATTATACGTTGTTTTACAACAGTTTCACCTCCGACGCTCTCGCAATGAACTTGGTTGTCGTGGAGGCGAAGCGTAGGGGCGGCACCGACTTTGCCCTCCCACAGCTCATTGCGTACCTCGGGATCGTACATAGCCTGCCAGGAGAAGAAAAAGGAGAATTCGACTGTGTACGGAATCATATCGGACGGGAACGTGTTCCGATTCTGTAGAGTGGCGAACGATGGAAAATACGGCCAGAGTGGCCTGCTTGAGTGGAGCCGGATTACGGAGAGGGGGAAGATATATTCCATCATCCGTTCCATCATCCGGACGGCAGCATTATCCTAACCATCAACAACGCCGATTAGAGACCCGAGCCGCCGGAGGCTGGTACTGTCTGCCTTTCGTAGTGCGTCTGTGAGCGACTCTGCTGAGTTAGATTTTGGTATTAAAGAGGCGAAGTTTTGGGAGGTTAATGAAGAAGAGCTGGACGAATACGAAATCATCGGTAGCAAGAGGAAGAGGCTTTGAAAAGGAGGTTTGTTGCTGTTTCGCTTCGTTTGTAGGTCGGTAGTATTCATGAAATGATGGGACAAACAAACGGGGGGGAAGCATAATAGTAAAATAAGTCCTTTAATTATTTTGTGACATTTTGTGACTGAAATAGGCACACAAATTCGTGGTTTGTGCTTCTTTCTTCCGCGATCGATCAACACCACAACTCGGAGCTCGTTGTTGCCCCTCGCGCCCCCTTTATCAAGAGATTTATTAACCTATCAACAGATCAATACTTGTGGAATTCTCACTCCGTGCCCGGGATAAGGGGCAGCGATGCCAAGCGCCAACCCGGGGCCAAGCCCAGTATCACCCAACTCAGAAGATAAAACTGGGCACCACTGCTCTGAGACTAGCTCGGAAGCAGAGTTTTTCTGCTATATAAAAGTAGTTACAGTGGCTAGATGAATAAAAACATGCTTTCACAGATCACTGTTCTGAACCTGGTTGAGAATTTGTAATTATCATATTATTCTATTATCACGGACCGCTACCAACACCTACAAGTTCTACAGGTTATGAGCCCCGGAACGCAAAAGCGTTCTATAACCAGAGGAAGGTTCTATTTTTGAGCCAGGTGATACTCCGCGACCAGGAATTAGAAACCCTGACCGAAACCGCCGACGCCAGCAGCATAACTGGCCGTCATGTCGACGGAACGCTTTCTTGGCTAACTTGAAGAGCCAGGAAAAGCTCAAAGGCAGTGCCAACTACCTCATGGAAGCCCAAGCCGGCGTACTTGAATCTCTCGGCATCGAAAAGGGGGTGAAGCCGATTACCTTCCTCCCGAATGAAAAACTTGGCATTGGCAGTAAAGAATCAGAGTATAACATCTGGTTTACTGGTAACGCCCATGCTTACTCGATCATTGAAGCTACATGTGGATCGGAAACAGTCGAGACTATCCGACTGACTGTTGACGCTGCTGAAGCCTGGAAGCTCCTTCAAAATCGATATGAAGGAAAAGGCAACTTCGTTCTTACAAAAGGTTTCGACGATTGGCACTATCACTCGATCCAGAGGATATTGCCACCTTTAATATACGCTTCAAGAACATCAACTCGCAATTATCAGGAGCCGGAGTTGATGTCCCCCCAGTGATGTCAATGTTGCATTATCTGAACATCGTACAAGCCACGTTCCCGAATTGGGCAGATAAATACAGGGGCAAAATGAGAAAATATCAGCCTGGAAGTATGCCTACAATTGAAAAACTTGACGATCTGATGGATCGTCTGCTCGAAGAAAGCCGCGATCACACTGTCACAAACAACAGAGCCGTCGCTCTATATGGGAATCAACCACTGAAAAGGGGTCGGCATACCGGACGACCTAGTGGACGTGGAGGCGGAAGAGGAGGGCCTTACAAGCCTCAGCCTCAAGACCGCGAGATTCCTGCGATTACTGTGGTCGAGATAGGCACTCAGAGGCCAAATGCTGGAAGAAGAACCCAGACTTGAAACCGCCATATATCAAAGCTATTGAGGCTGCTCGGTGTTACGATGGTCATAGAGGTCATGATGCCAGTCCAAAAAAAGTAATCTAGATTGAATCTAAAGAGAGAAGAAGAAGAAGAAGGAAGGAAGGTGAGGCTATTCCTCATAACATACAGTTGTCTGCTTAGCGGTTGTAACCTTTGTGGCTAAGGCTACACCCGTAATCCCCATAACAACCGTAACAACCGTAACAACCGTAACAACTGTAACAACCGTAACAACCATAACAACTGTAACAACCGTAACAACCATAACAAGCTGTGACAAGCTGTGAGCTGTAATCGTTAACACTACCCCCCCCCTAGTAAGATTGATCTCCTGATCAAGAGTAAGATCATTGTGGCTTCTGCGGGTATTTTCGTTGGAAAGCTTGTGTGAGTTCAGGTGCATTGTTGAAGTTTGTAGCAGGAAGTGTTGTCTAGTGGGTGGTTCTTCCATGCTGCCATATAGAACAGCTTCTTCCGTAGGAGTTTAGAATCTAGGATTTCTTTAACTTCCCATTCAAGTTCATCTTCTATAATGATTGGCAGGGGTGGTTCATGGTGCTGGCCTTGTAAAGCATCATCTGAGTCAAGTCGTAAGAGGTTGCTATGAAACACAGGGTGTATCTTCATGCTTGGTGGTTGCTGGAGTCAGTATGCAACATTCCCAATTCGCTCAAGGATTTGAAATGGACCAACTTGCTTATGGTCAAGTTTCTTTGAGGGTCGTTGGGTTTTAATATTCTGAGTAGAAAGCCAGACTCGGTCTCCTATCTTATATCTTTGTGCTGGCTTCCTGTTTTGATTTGCAAAGTGCTCCATTCGGGTTTGTGAGAGGGCGATCTGGTCTTGTAGGAATTCCCAAATATCTTTCATGTTTTGAGCTATGTCCTTATGTTCTTGAAGGGCAGTTTTGAACGTGCTATCCTCTATATCAAAGCTCATTCTTGGCTGGAAACCCTTGTTTGCAAAAAATGGGCTAACTTTTGTTGAGTCTGATGGAAGGGCATTTGCTGCGAATTCAGCCATGCAAAGATATTCAACCCAGTTGTCTTGGAGATAGTTGACATGAGCCCATAAATATCGCTCGAGTTCTGCATTAAACCTCTCAGTTTGCCCGTCCGTTTCTGGGTGGAAGGCTGTAGACAATTTGATTGTAACTTTCCAAACTTTGCAGAGGATTTTCCACACTACAGCTACAAACTGGGGCCCTCTGTCTGAGATGATGGAATTTGGTAAACCATGGTGTTTTCATACATGCTGGAGTAGTAACCTCGCTGTAGCTTCTGCTGTAGTGCCTTCTTTACCTGCAAAGAATGGGATAAAATGGCGCTCTTTTGTAAGTCAGCATGCTACTACAAGGATAGAATTGTTTCCTTCACATAATGGTAATTCTGTAATAAAATCGAGTGATATGTCCTTCCATGGTTGGCTTCCAATTGGGATTGGTTGTAGGAGTCCATTGTATGCGTCCCGGGTTGGTTTTGATCTCTTGCAGGTATGGCAATTCCTCATATATTGAGTGATAGTCTTGTCCATCCGGGGCCAGTAGTACTGTCTCTTAATGATTCGAATCAGCTTCCCAATTCCAGGGTGTCCCATTGCTGGCTGGTCGTGAACCTCATGAAGGAGTTTAACTCGGACGTCTTCTGGGATCCAAACTCGATTTTGGTAGAGTAGGAGTCCATTTCTCTCTTCGCAATGTGCTAAGGCTATATTTGGGCTATCTCGCTCGTTGTTCTGTAGTCTTCAGATTGTATCCTTGCATAATTCATCCTGGAGCTGTGCAGCTTGAATCTGGTCATGGATGCTTTGATCTTGTGGTAGGATTGGTGCAAGTTGAGCATCTTGTGCCTGCCCTTGACTTTTGAGTTCTAGCTGCTGTGCGAGATCCAGATGGAGTCTCTCAAGGGGTAATAGGGTTTGAAGCTGTTGTTTTTGACGGTCATCTTCTTCATTCCCTTCTGGTCTATCTCCTGGTCTTCGAGTTAACACATCTGTTTTTCCGTTCTGCTTGCCAGGTTGATATATGATTTGGAAATTGTATCGAGAGAGGAATTCTGCCAATCGAGCTTGCCGCCTAGTAAGCTTTTTTGTGCTCATGAAATATTCAAGACTCTTGTGGTCTGACAAAACTTGTATTGGCATTGCTGTGCCCTCAACTTCTGGTCTCCATGCTTCAAAGCATCTAATGATGGCCAGTAGCTCCTTGTCATAGATCTCGTAATTGCACTCAGCAGGTGTCATTTTCTTTGAGAAGAAGCCAATGGGGTGTAGTACTCCTTGGTTGTCCTTCTGTGATAGAAATCCTGAGGATATATAGTCTGAGGCGTCTGCTTCTACATACGCTGTTTTGTCCCGGTCGAAGTGTTGTAGCACAGGTGCTTCTGTACCAGTCTTTTTAATCAGCTCAAAGGCTGCCTGGCAGGCTTGGTTCCATTCGAATATTTGACCTTTCCTTGTGAGATTTACCAGTGGCTTCTATAGTAGAGTAGCTTCTTATAAACTGCCGGTAGAACACGCAGAACCCAATGAAGGCTTGTGTATCTTGGAGCGACCTTGATGCTTTCCATTCAAGTATAGTTTGGACTTTTGCGGGGTCCATTCTCATGCCATAGATTCCAATGATAAGCCCTAGGAATTTTGTTTCTTGGACATAGAATTCACATTTTGCAATGTCTGCTTGTAGTCCAGCTTCGCGGAGCTTCTGTAAAACCATTTGCACGTGCTGGGTATGCTCAGATCGATTTGCACTATAGATGAGGAGATCATCCATATATGCTGTAACAAATTTGTTTATGTATTCCATAAGGGTTTCGTTCATATATCGCTGGAATGTTGCAGGGCCATTTGTAAGGCCAAAAGGGAGGACCTTGTACTTGTATGATCCAAATCTCGTCTTAAAGGTAGAGATCTTCATCCTCTTTTGTTTGCATACGGATCCGATTAAATGCATGACGAATGTCAATCTTTGTAAGATATTTGGCACCTGTGATCTGAGCCAATGTTTCATCGATGAGGGGTAGTGGGTATGAGTCTTTTCTTGTGATGGCATTTAGCTTGCGGTAATCAACACAGAATCGAAGTCCGCCACCTGGTTTGTGGACGAAAAGGACAGGAGAGGCAAAGGGAGCTTTGCTAGCTTCAATAAATCCTTTTGACAAGTTGTCGTCAATATATTTCTTCACAAGATCAAGTTCCTCCTTTGACATGTTGTAAAGGGGCGCATGTCCTAATTTTGAATCTTGTTCTAAGACGATGTGGTGGTCTGCATATCGGTGAGGGGGGAGTTCATCTGCAGCCTGCTTTGAGAACACATCGAGATATTCATGGAACTCCTTTGGGATGATCAGTTTTGGGTCGATTTCCTTCACTTTCTTCTTTGCCTGTTCAGCGAGTATATCTTTAAATGATACTGCAAAACCCTCAGCTCCCTTCTGCTTCCGAAGCATATTAAATGGTGCGGCTCCAATCATTGTGACAGTGACAAGAGTGGTGATGAATAGAGGGCATAGACTTTCAACATGGTCTTGGACCTGTAGGCGAGGGTATATAGCATGAGTGATGGGAGGTGCTGCTGTTCCATCAAAGCCTTGAATAGGGCGTGGCTTTAAAAGCTCTACTGGTGATATGCCTTCTATCTCACAAATTCGTTCTGCGTCAACAGCATTCACAAAGTTTCCTCCAGTAGCTCCAGTATCGATAAGGGCTTGTGCTTTGATTTTTGATTTTCCTATCATACAACTAACTATGAATGGAGTATCTGGATCTAATCCAAAGCTTGAGGAAGAAGTTGCAATTCTGGCTGTCATGACACCTTCAGGGACGTCTTGTCTGAAGGTTATTCTTTTCCCGAAAGTGGAGCATCATAAGTGCTAACTTCGTGGACTTGAGCATTCTTAGTAGGACATTCATAAGCTCAGTGTCCAGTTTGCTGGCAATGGAAGCAGCGGCCTTCCTGCATTAGCTTCTCAGTTGCAGGGTTCTGATGTGGTGCACGATATAGTCTTGGTGGTCTAAAGCTAGCAGGTGGGTTTGTAGTAGGCTGCTTAGCCTTACTGTGAAAGTCTTGTGGCTTAAAGGCTTGCTGAATAACTCGAGGGACAGTGCGAGCGTCTTGGATTTGAAGTTGCTGGATATTCTGATCAATCAGTAAGCACTTTTGTGCAAAGGCATGAAGAGAGCTTGGATTTATCTCTGCTATTAAAGCAGTCTGCATCTCGTGCAGAGGTCATCGATGAGGGTCTCTTCTGAGTAATCCAGTTCAACAGTGAGTCTCTGAAACTCTGCCTATCATTGAAGACTCTGTCTAGGACTTCAAACATTTCCTCTACAGTTTGAAACTTGTTCTGAGTAGATCGAAGGCATGGATTGATGTGAGAGGAGGCTTTGCCACCTAGTCTGCTTTGCACATAACCCATCTGAAGGGCTGGAGTAGGAAAATGGTCAAGGTTCGCCTCAAGCTTCATCTTTATCTTAATGCTCCAATCGTCATAAGCTGGCTCTATTCCGTCTGTGAGAGTAGGAGGGTCCGGGATCTTGGTGGATTTCTGGTGTGATTCTCTATTGCGAGTAGTGCTGCTTTTTGACTTCTCATTTTCAAGATATTTCACAACAGCAGCTTGTCCTGCCATTGTCTGCTCATGAGCTTGGATAACCTCTTGTAGCTGGCTGATATTGTCATCATATGTAGCCTTCTCCTCTCGACTCTTCTGGAGGGTAGTATTGTAGAGCTGGGTGACATGATCATAATCCTCCATCATCTGCTTTTGGATTTGAAGTGCAGCCTCTCTCTGGGCTTGGCTCCAGGTGCTCACAACTGAGAGGTCTTTAAGCTCCCAAATGCGAAGGGTAACTTGGTGTTCTGGATCCTCGAGTAGTGTTTCCCTTCTATTGTAGGTGTGGCTTTCTAAGCAGTCCTCATTGCTTGTAATAGATTGGGTTTCTTGTCCTTGATCTTGACTCCTGTCACGGATGACATGTCCTTGTGCATCACATGCCATTTTAGCAGGCTTCACTTTTTGTCCTTGGAATTGTCGAGGTCAGGATCTTCTTCTGACTTTGTCAGTATCAGGAACTAGACACGTATGTGGTGAAGGCCCTATTATGCAGTTGTCGGCCGTACGAGCCACTCAAGAGGAGTGCACTTCCGTCACAGTTATATCCTTGTTGAGGGAGCGTCACGGAAAGGTCTAATTCTGCTGATATAATGTTCTGGGTTCTGATGCTTGAGTGTGGTATTGAGTTGACTTGTGGTTTCTGGATTTGATGTTCTAGTGTTCTGGTTCTGGTTCTGGTTCAATGTGTAGTTCTGGAATTGATTCTGGCTGTATTTGTGTCTGGGTTTTCTGGTTCTGTATCTAGATCCAGTTCTTTGCTAAAGAGCAGTGTCTTGGTCTGAGTTTTGATTTCTGGTTCTGGAGGTTCTGTTGCTTGAAGGTTTGTGTTCTATAGCAGCACTTCGATACTACAATGGAGGACGACCAAGCTCCTACAACTACTGCTGATTGCTCCAAGGTTTGTGCTTGTTTCTGGTTTCTTGCTCAGGATGAGCTAATGAAGAAATGAGATTCAATCTTATGTTACAATGGTCATAGAGGTTATGATGCCAGTCCAGAAAAAGTAATATGGATTGAATCTAAAGAGAGAAGAAGAAGAAGAAGAAGGAAGGTGAGGCTATTCCTCATAACATACAGTTGTCTGCTTAGCGGTTGTAACCTTGGTGGCTAAGGCTACAACCGTAACAACCGTAACAACCGTAACAACCGTAACAACCATAACAACCGTAACAACCGTAACAACCGTAACAACCGTAACAACCGTAACAACCGTAACAACCGTAACAACCGTAACAACCATAACAACCGTAACAACCGTAACAACCGTAACAACTGTAACAACCGTAACAAGCTGTGACAAGCTGTGAGCTGTAATCGTAACAGGTAGAGGACGAAGAAACGCAATGCCTCATCCAGCAGAAGTTTCCGCATATGCACCGGAAGTACACCGATGTCTTTTCGAAGTTGGAATCGGATCGAATCCCCCCACACTGCATATACCACCACAAGATACAGCTCGAAGCCCCTTTACCAAATGCTTTCTCCCCGTTATATCAACAGGGCACCGAAGAGCTTAAGGCTACCAAGCAATATCTGTTAGAGAACCTAGAGAAAGGCTTCATCGTCAACAGCAACAGCCCCTTTGCGTCCCCTATTCTATTCGTAAAGAAAGCGGATGGCAAATTAAGATTTTGCATCGATTACCGGAAGTTAAATGGTCTCACCCGAAATGATCCCTACCCTATCCCGCGTATTGATGAACTACTAGGACGGGTGTCGAAAGCAAAAATCTTCACGAAGCTAGATATCAGACAAGCCTTCCATCGCATACAGATGCACCCCATCGGAAGAGTACACAACCTTTCAGACTCGCTATGGATCCTATAAGTGCAAAGTGCTGCTGTTTGGACTAACGAACGGTCCCGCAACCTATCAGCGGTATATGAATGACATCCTGATGCAATATTTAGACGACTTCTGTACCGCATACTTAGACGACATCCTAATCTATTCAGAGGACCCTACAAAACACATAGAGCACGTGCAAAATGTCCTACAGCATCTCGGAGAAGCTGGACTCCAAGCCGATTTGAATAAATGTGAGTTCAACGTCACCAGGACAAAATACTTGGGTTACGTTCTCACTACCTCCGGCATCGAAGCGGACCCTGACAAAATCGAACCCCTTCGTAACTGAATCCGACCGACCACTGTTACAGGTGTGAAGTCCTACCTGGGATTTTGTGGCTTCTATAGACAATTCATTCGCAATTTCAGCAAAATAGCAAAGCCCCTCACGACTATCACCAGTCCCTCGGAGCCGTTCCGATGGACAGATGAATGTGAGGCTGCTTTTGAGGAATTGCGCCGGCAACTCCTGGCAGTACAGGCACTTCACCACTTCAACCCCGAATTGCCTACGAAGCTGGAGACAGATTCCTCTGATGGAGTCATAGCTGGTGTCCTCTCCGAAGAACACTCTGACAAGCGGTGGTACCCCGTAAGCTTTTCAGTCATGTCCTATCCGGACACGAGATCAACTGGGAGATCCACGACAAGGAACTATTCGCAATAGTAAAGGCCTTCGGAAAATGGAGGCCCGAGTTGGCTTTGGTGCACCACCGAGTCGACGTTTACACTGACCACCGTTCGCTGGAATATTTCATGTCTACCAAGGTTCTCACCACGAAGCAGGTTCGGTGGATGGAACTACTCTCCAACTTTAACTTCTGCATTACGTACACTGTGGGCAAGAATAACCAGAAGGCAGATATTCTAAGCCGAAGAGACCAAGACTTGGTAACGCAGCAGAAAGTCAAGCTTGATAGTAGGGCAAGGGTATTGTTAGTTCCAAGCCGCCTGCACCCCCGAATCAGCACCGAACTTGCCGAGAGCTACAGATGCCTTTCAATTTAATAGAGGCTTTATGTGAGGACAACAGAGAGTCATTTACAGAAACACATGCGAAACACCCCCTACCTGACAGGTTCAGGTTGAACGGCCGGCTTCTTCTATACAAAGGCCGTCTATGTGTAAATCGCCACACCGAGCTATGTACGAAACTAATCCGAGAAGCGCACGACCAGGTGTCGGTGGCACATCCTAGCGGCCAGAAAACCTATCAATTGATTGCCCCTTAGTACCACTGGGTCAGGATGGAAGCGGATTGTTTGCGCTATGTGAGGAATTGTGTGACATGTCGGCTTTCTCATACCAATGTCACCAAGCAACAAGGATTCCTACACCCGCTGCCCATACCCGAATATCCTCTGCAACACCTCACCATGGACTTCCCAAGGGACAAGCACAGATACGACAGCATCTTAGTGTTTATGGACCGACTCGGAAAGAATTGTAAGCGACTGCGGACCCCAATTCGTTTCATCCTTTTGGCAGGAGTTCTGTCGAATTATCAGCGTGAAGGTTAAGCTGTCGACTGCCTATCATAAGCAGACTGATGGACAGACGGAAATCATGAACTGATACATCGATCAGAGACTGAGGTCTTTCGTATCCCATTACCAGGATAACTGGAGCAAACTCATCCCCATAATGGACCACGTGCAAATGACACTCCCCCATGCCTCCATTGGCATGACCCCCTACTGACTCAAGTACGGAACCGATCCGCGTACGAGTTGGGATTGGAACACCCCGAAAAGCACCAACCCCCGGGAGACTCTAAACCGAGATGAAGCCAAGGTGGTTGCAGACCGAATGCTTACCGCATGGGTCTACGCAAAGGAAAACATGGCAAAGGCACAAGAGGAAATGTCCAAGCACGCGAATCGACACCGAAGGGCCATCGACTGGGACGTAGGAGATAGAGTGTACCTATAGACCAAAAATTTGAAGAACTCTCGCCCTAGCCCCAAGTTGGGCCAACAATGTGTCAGACCATATACGTGTAAGGCTGACTATACGATAGAAGACACAGAGGTTTCTTGCATAAGGTTGACTTGACAGAGGAGGCAGGGGATTAAACACAAAGGCTTTCCAAGTAACACATTACAGTATTGTAAAGAATACTATATTGAGTTGAGCACGAAGCTCCTATCTAAGAAAATACTATCTACTTATATAGTGGCGTCGTGCCTCATGGGTAATCTGGATAGTTGGCGGATAGCTAGATATTCAGGAAGTTCGTGGATAGCTCAACTATCCAATATCCACTAGTTTCTGCAACTATCCATTAGCCCCGTCACATGGCAGCCTACCCCGCTTCCCACTGTGACTCACACGTCACGTTACTAGGCCCTGGCCCTGTAACCATGACATCATGTTACTGTAGCCGTAACACTAGGTCCTTCTCCAAAAGGCTTAGTCCCTTAGGTCTTGCTGATTAAGGAATCGCTTACTTAAGTAGGGTGATGCCCACTTAATTGTCGAGCAGGTTGCGCTGCTTACCATGTCTTCTAGTAGACACATAAAAATCAAAGAACGTCATCTTCTTGCAGACCATATTGAAAAGAACGGAAACCTAATGTCGCCATGTTCCAGCTGTCTTCACAACAATCGATTCTGTATTGTTGTTGCTGGTAGTCATCGTTGTAGTGAATGTACTCGTCGCAATTCCAAATGCAACGCTTGCGCCCCTTCTCCAACTGATTGGGAGAAGCTTCGAAAAGAAGAAGAGCGTCTTGAGGTAGAAGAGGAAGCGGCGGTATCTCAGGAGCGAGAGGCTCACCTCTGCGCTCAAGAAGCATATGCCCATTGCATGCATCTTCGCAAACAGCAGAAGGCTCTCAAAACCTGCGGTGTTGAGATGCTGCATCGTGGTCTGAAATCTTTGGACGAATTGGATGAAGCAGAGGAGAAGGAGTGTAGGGAGGCAGAGGTCAAAGGGACTCTCTTGCACAGCCATTCTACTGCCGTTTCCGAGGGTGCTGCCCCTGACCAGGACCTTTTCGTGGCCCTGTCTCCTGGCTTCTTTGATCGCTTGGGTGTCGACGGCGAAAAGCCTCCAGTAGCTCTGGACAGCTAAGGTTTCTGACCGTTTCCCATGAATTGTCCGTAGGTTCATAACCTTTCCATTTTATCAAAAACTCTTCTTTGCGTCCTACTAACCTTCTGTCTAGGATCGCTTCGACTTCGTATTCAACAATCTCATTCTCTGGTTGAAGTTCTGTATCGGTCGCAATTGGGGTGCTTCCTCTTGCTGGTTCTAATAGTGAGACATCAAATACTGGGTGTAGTCTAGACTTCTTGGGTAGCTGCAGTCTGTAATTAACTGAGCTGACTTTGTTCAATATTTTGAATGGTCCCAATTTCTTGAATAGACTGGCCACGGTCCGGTCCGGTCCGGTCTTTTAATGTTGAGTGAGGACTGTTTTACGGTCCAGTCTTTTTTTTTAGGACTGGACCTTGAGATTTTTAGAGTGTAGACTGTTTGCTAAAAGTTGAGGTTCCCTTTAAAAGACCGGACTGATAATAGTCCAGTCTTT